CGCGAGAATGTTTCTGCCCCATCATGCACTGGGAGCTTAACCTACAATTCCACTGGGCGGCAGGGACTGTGGGATAGCTACCCACAGTGCACCGCTCTGACATTCAATGGTAGCCTCGGTACTGTGGACACACTCTGCCGAATTCACGCGCTTTAGTGGGGACACACAAGACCCAATGTATAAAATCACTTCCAAAAATTCAAATAGAATAATTTTGAAATAATTTTGTACTGTAGACATAACCATGGTTCTTTTAAAAACTGTATGTGACTCCGGGTAAGTGCGGAGACTTGCTTTTCCTCCACCTGCAGCCATGTTGAGCAACCATGCTTCAACACAGCCAATTTCATAGTGAAGAGTAAATTCTTTTAAGAGCTAAATTCTATGTGCTGAACAAAGTACCTGCACCACAAGTAATCATCCAATGGCTGTTCAGACATGACAGGACGCTCAGTCAAAAAGATTGTATAGTCACAGCTTTCCACGGTGTTGAAGGGAAACTTCATTGCATCAAAGACAGAACAGAAAAAGCGAGACAGCAGACACTTCCCTTTACACAGTACCCTTCTTATCAGGAACACAGCTTCACAAGGACAGCACTGAATTCCAGAGCTGTAACAGTTCCCTAGCAGAGTGCAGCTAGAAAAGAAGTCTATTTTTCTAAGTCTCTGATCCTAGTGAATGAGTTAAAATATTCTAGAGCTGCAGTATGCAAGGTAAGTTGTATGGAGTAATAGCCCTGTGTAAGAGCCCATTGACAGCATCAGAGCTGGATGAATGGACACAAGCTCAGCTTTTGCTATTGCTGCAGCAGAGCCCAGATCCACTTGATTGTTAGTGAGTCTTCCCTTACAACGATGTTACATCTAAAAAAGCTTGTTAGGCCACCAAGTCTACAGCAGAATGAGGCTAGAACAATTCAGGATTGAATCTGGGCAGAGTTTAGAAAAAAAAAAAGACTCAGACACCTCACTCTCAAAAACCTGTCTACTTGGCCAGTTCTCTCATTGTTTTAAGCTAACATGCATACCCCAGCAAATCCATTGAATGCATTGTCCTGGGGATGGGGGTTCCATGCCCACCACTCCCAAGAGGAGGAGACGGGTGGTGGTGGCCGGGGACTCCCTCCTAAGGGAGACGTCTATCTGCCGACCAGACCGGGAGACTCGAGAAGTGTGCTGCTTGCCTGGAGTTAGAATCCAGGACGTAACGGACTGTTTGCTGAGACTGATCAAGACCTCGGACCTCTACCCCTTCCCTCCTTCTCCACGTGGGCACCAATGATACTGCCAAGAATGACCTTGAGCGGATCACTGCAGACTATGTGGCTCTGGGAAGAAGGATAAAGGAGTTTGAGGCACAAGTCGTGTTCTTGTCCATACTCCCTGTTGAAGGAAAAGGCCCAGGTAGGGACCGTCAAATTGTGGAGGTGAAGGCGTGGTTACATAGGTGGTGTTGGAGAGAGCGCTTTGGATTTTTCGACCATGAGAGGTTGTTCCGGGAAGAAGGATTGCTAGGAATAGATGTAAGAGCATCTTCAAAGTGGATAGAAAGCTGGCTAGATTGTTGGGCTCAATGGGTAGTGATCAATGGCTCAATGTCTAGGTGGCAGCTGCTATCAAGCAGAGTGCTCCAGGGGTCGGTCCTGGGGCTGGTTTTGTTCAACATCTTTATTAATGATCTGGATGATGGGGTTAATTGCACCCTCAGTAAGTTCACTGATGACACTAAGCTGGGGGGAGAGGTAGATAAGCTAGAGGGTAGGGATAGGGTCCAGAGTGACCTAGACACATTGGAGGATTGGGACAAAAGAAATCTGATGAGGTTCAAGAAGTACAAGTGCAGAGTTCTGCACTTAGGAAGGAAGAATCCCATGCACCGCTACAAGCTGGGAATCGACTGGCTAAGCAGCAGTTCTTCAGAAAAGGACCTGGGGATTACAGTGGATGAGAAGCTGAGTATGAGTCAGCAGTGTGCCCTTGTTGCAAAGAAGGCCAATGGCACATTGGGCTGTATTAGCAGCATTGCCAGAAGATCGAGGGAAGTGATTATTTCCCTCTATTCGGCACTGGTGAGGCCACACCTGGAGTACTGCGTCCAGTTTTGGTCCCCCCACTACAGAAGGGATGTGGACAAATTGGAAAGAGTCCGGCAGAGGGCAACGAAAATGATTAGGGGGCTGGGGCACATGACTTAAGAGGAGAGGCTGAGGGAACTGGGCTTGTTTAGTCTGCAGAAGAGAAGAGTGAGGGGGGATTTGATAGCAGCCTTCAGTTACCTGAAGGGGGGTTCCAAAGAGGCTGGAGCTCGGCTGTTCCCAGTGGTGGCAGATGACAAAACAAGCAGCAAAATGGTCTCAAGTTGCAGTGGGGGAGGTCTAGGTTGGATGTTAGGAAACACTATTTCACTAGGAGGGTGGTGAAGCACTGCAATGGGTTACCTAGGGAGGTGGTGGCATCTTCATCCTTAGAGATTTTTAAGGCCCGGCTTGACAAAGCCCTGGCTGGCATGATTTATTTGGGGCTGGTCCTGCTTTGAGCGGGGGATGGACTAGATGACCTCCTGAGGTCTCTTCCAACCCTATGCTTCTATGATTCTAATAACAATACGATGCGATATGCGGGGGTGGGTGCAGGGGTGAGAGTAAGTTAGAGGACTTATCGGTACGCAGGAGTCCTGAGCAGAGGGCGTGGCCGTAACCGGAAGCGGCAGGGCCTTAAATCCCTGGGCCCTTTAAATCTTGATTTAAAGAGCCAGGGCTCCAGCTGCAGTAGTGGCGGCTAGGAGCCCGGGGCCCTTCAAATCACCCCCGAGCTGCCAGCTGCAGAGGAGGCTGGGAGCCGCGGGGCTTGGGGGCAATTTAAAGGGCCCAGGCTCCAGCTGCCGCTACCACAGTGGAGCCCCGGCGCCACTACTCCAGGGCTTTAAATTGCCGTCTGGGAAAGCCGGGCCCGGTACGGCGCACCGGCCCTTACTGGTACGCTGTACCAGGGCGTACCGGCTTACGTTCACCTCTGGGTGGGTGTTACATCAAGGATCAGTCAAGGGGGAACACATACATATGGAATATAGCAGTGATTAGTTATCTGCCAGACAGTAAATATTTACTGTGTTTAAAGCCTTTCTTAAATCGCGGTCATGCTCTCCATTGATGGGAATGGACCCTGAAGCTACCATTGTCCTGATACTTCCCAGCCATTTGATGAGGCGCAACAGAGCTGTTAGAAAGCAGAACCCTTCACGAGCATGGGAAAAGGATCTTCAAAGTGCTCAAACATTAAATATTTTTCTTCAGTTGACTTAATCTTTATTTACACTTGACGAAGTTCCAGAACCTATGACTTTGAGGCTCCCAGCCTTCCCCTGAACTCAAATGGATTCTGCTTGAAACCCTACTCTGCATTTGTGTGTCAAGAAGGTTGCTTCCCTTCTGAGGGATCAGTCATTACTTATCTCATACCTCACAGAAACTTCACTCTGGTTAGATGTACGGATCAGACTCTGGCTACAGACACCTGCTCCCTATGCGCCTCACCTTACTTCACACAGACACATCCTTTGCCCCCCTTTCTGTATTTTGTGCCTTCTATCATTGTGCTCCCATGCCAGGAACCCTCCATCCTATCCGTACATCCTGCTCCTCCAGATCCACCCTCCTCACTCTCCTAGACTGTCCTCCTGGGTCTTGCACACTGACCTATCTTGTTTTACTTTGGGAGCTCTTCATGGCACAGAAGAGGTCTATGGGAAGTGCCATGTAAACTAATGGTGCTTGGAGCCCTGACCTGTGTCCTGACCCTTGGGTTCTAGTCACAGCTCTGCTACTGACTCAGTGTGCAAGACTAGACAAGTCACTTAAACATTCTGTGCCTGTTTCCCACATCTGTAAAATGGGAACAGAGTTTTAGCCACCTTCGTAAAGCACAGATTTAACAATGAAGGCTGTTAGGCAGTTGTACAGTTACTAGCTAAACCTAGAAGTTGATCTCTCTCAATCTTGAATGCATCCTTTTTAAAAGGTGCATATGGATGTGCGAGAGACTAGGGTCACCACTCCGAATAGAGGAAGGGGCAGAAGCACCATTTGGGGTACTGCCTGCGTAGGGAGGCAGGCCATATTTCTTTAACACAACTACCTGATGGGGTAAAAGGGAGAGGAAAACGGAAGAGCTCAGCTTAATATTTTATTCTTGGATCATCATAACAAGATCTATGAAACAAAGATATCTGTCCTCTGCCAAAAGGGGCTTGTTTGCTTTTTTTTCCCCCCCCAACAGGTGGAATTTAAGAAAGCAGCAATAATTCCTATAAACTAATCTGGAAACCAGCCCAGTCCTCCGTTAGCTAGACTACTACTAAAAACAAGTTTCAGAGTAGCAGCCGTGTTAGTCTGTATCTGCAAAGAGAAAAGGAGGACTTGTGGCACCTTAGAGACTAACATTTATTTGAGCATAAGCTTTCGTGAGCTACAGCTCAGAATGCATCCGATGAAGTGAGCTGTAGCTCACGAAAGCTTATGCTCAAATAAATTGGTTAGTCTCTAAGGTGCCACAAGTCCTCCTTTTCTCTTTACTAAAAAGAAGTCAAGCTTGCCGGCTGATAGGCTACTTGACCTGAATATAACATTCATCTTTCAGAGCAGAGGCTGCAGTGACAGGCAAACTCTCACCCAGCTCTCACACAAGACAAAAGGGTAGCTGACATACAGACCAACCCACAGAGCCAAAAGGAGCCTTCTGTCATGGAAATGGAGGCAGATCTCAAGAAGCCATAGGCTCCATTATGCAACATTTGGTCTTGATCCAAGGAGCTTTGTTGTTGGGACCTGTAGTTTACATGGGCTGCTATAATCTACTAGTTTAACACGCGTTAGGTGCGGCTCTCTGGTTCTGGGCACGCTGCCAGTGCATCCCTGCAGCTGGGTATAGTTTGGGCACTCCCAATCCTACAGCAATAGATGGCATCCCAAAAGCATCTCCACCCTGTGCATGGCAGCGCACCTGACATCTTTGCCAACGGTCATGGATGCGATCACCTTCTTCACTGCCTCTTTCTTCTTCTCCTTCTTGTCACTGTTCAACTCTGCCTTCAACTCAAAGATCTCCCCTGGAGAAGAGGGCGAAAGAAATTCAGGAGTTAACATTCCCTGCCCTGGACAGATTGGGGCAAGCAGCAGGTTTTGGTAGAAAGGTACAGTCAGCTACTTAGATGAATGCTCCATTTCAATTACCCACAGGAATTAAAAGCAATTGCTTGCCTGTTTCTATTAAATGAAGGCAAATAGCTCTCTTCGACCCAGGCTGGCAAGGGAGCCCAGTCAGTAGAGCAACATCTCAAGATGCCACATTAGGTAATGGTCTTAGCCAGGAACACATCCACAGCCAAGCTACTCTCTCCCATCAGGTACTCTACACCGCCTGGGCCAACAAGAGTTTAAAATAACTTGGCAGAAAGCAGACGGGCCCACTGGAGTGGGAACACAATGCACTAACCAGCTCATGGGATGAGAGTTTAAGGTTTGGGCTCGATAGCTGCCCCAGTCTGGGACTGCCTCAGAATCTGTGCACTCAGAGAGAGCACAGCTTGCATTTGCCAATTCCCTACTGGCTAGCTCAGAATCAGTGTCAATGGGATCCAAAAGGAGAGGCACCTAGCTGGAAGCAAAATCAACACAAAGGAGGAAGGAGTAGAGGGGGGAATATAACAAGATCCTGTTGCAGTTGAAGCGAGACAAATTCAGCCTGGAAACAAGGTACACATTTTTAACAGAGAGGGTAATCAACTCTTGGAACAATTTACCAAAGGTTATGGTGGATTCTCTATCACTGTCAATTTTTAAATCAAGATTAGACTTTTGTTTTTAAAGATCTGCTTAACCAGGAATTATTGTGGCGCTGTTCTCTGGCCTGCATTATACAGGAGGCGAGACTAGATTATCACAATGATCCTTTCTGGCCCTCCAATCTATGAATCAGGCCTGGCACTTCTTCTACAAAGAGAGGATCTGCAAGGGGGAACTTGGCAACAGCCAATGGGTAGCTCTTCACTGACCTTCCCCTTCAGCTCACTGAAATACACAACACACAGTAACTCTTTGATCAGTGTTGTTTTGTGTATGCAGAAATGGGAACTGCCAGCACTTTCAGAAGGGAATTGAAAAGGTGTTGAAATTTCACTGTGGCTTCTACAAATCTGTGTGTTTCTTTAGCACCAACTATCTAGGGATCTCAAAGCACATTAGGGAATTAAGCATCAACATCTTTGTGCAAGAGATATCCCAGTTATTCAGAAATGGAAACAGAGGTGAGCAGATAAAAATCTAACTGCACGATGGCTACAAACCAGGCAAGGCATGAAAAATCCATTCACCAGTCGAAAGAATCTATGAACAGATGAGGGCTGGTAGGGGAAAGCACTATGCCATCAATTATTGCAGAATTCAAGTTCTCATTATAATAAAAACATTTCTAGGGATCATGTTAAGAACACCTTCTGAATCTGACCTGTCACAGCACTGGCTGCCCGAGTCTGTCTGGCAGACATAGCACTGTGGTGTGTATCCCAGAATCTCTCATATCCCAGCAACTATAGGAGGCTGGACTTTCTAACAAGGTGTTATCCCTGAGTGTCAATGCCCATCCAACCTATCCTCAGCTGAATTAGGTCATAGAATCATAGAATATCAGGGTTGGAAGGGACCTCAGGAGGTCATCTAGTCCAACCCCCTGCTCAAAGCAGGGCTAATCCCCAATTTTTGCCCCAGATCCCTAAATGGCCCCCTCAAGGATTGAACTCACAACCCTGGGTTTAGCAGGCCAATGCTCAAACCACTGAGCTATCCCTCCCCCGCAATTACTACTTGTCTGGTAAATTCTGCAAAGCTTGAACCCACTCTTCCTGAGTCAGCCCTAAGTCATAATTATGGCTAAGGCTTTTCTCCAGTAGCAGAAACACCCCCACATGATCAGAGCACGCCAGTCCTACACAGACACCAAGCATATTCTGAGAACACAGTCCCCAGACTAAGGCAGGAGATGGTTGCCAATGGTTTGCTGGGTGCCAGCTCACAGTCTCCTCCACAGTTTTGAAGGAGTGGAGTTTCCAAGGCAACATGCTCAGTTCTTACATGGATAAGTGCAGTGGTCTGGCTAAGGTTGCTAGACCATTCATTTCTGATTAGCTGTCCATCTCTCATAGAACCACGCACTGGTACTAGCTGACAGGTGGCAAAAGTAGCAAGGATACAAGTCTATATTTTCCCATGCATCCAACCCAGCCTGACAGCACCATGTGCTCTGGGTCCCGTGGTATCTCTGCCAGCTCATTCTTCAGCAAAGAGTGACACGTTATGCCAAACTCTATAGGATGGAAAGTGGGGACAGGGATTGGATTAGGCGTGTGGAAGAGGGCTCCAGTGGGGTGTGATCTAGAAAATTCATTGTGGCCCCACAGTCCATTGACTCAAAATTCAGAGTCAGAGGACACGGACACACCATTGTCCCCACACCTCCACCGTCACCAAACGGTGCAGTCATATGCACTAGATACGAACGTGTATGCACAGCAACAGAAAGAATATGCTGTTGTCACAGCAATGATGTGACAGGGTAGAGGGCTGTTTTGTTGCTATCAATGTTTTGCTGGGATCACAGCTAACCTCCCAAGCCCTCTTTTTAACTCAACCTTCCCCCCTTTCACTGACAAGGGGTAACTACAGCCTCTGAACAGCAAGACACTAGGACTCCACTCATTTACATTATTTCCTTGGTTTGGCAGATACTTAAATTTAGCAACCCGAGAGCCACCTGCACTGCTGCTTCAGTGGTTAGCGAAGGTTTCAGGCCTATTGGGATTTTCCGCCAAACCATTTTAACAAGTGCATTAAAGAAACAGGCCATCTGCAAGGGCCAGTCTGACAGCTGCACTGATGGGTGTCACTAAGCTGCAAAAGCTGATAAAACAGTTAAAAGGCTTGTCTTGGTTCACTGCCAGGCCAATGAGTCTGAGTGACAAACTGTTTTTGTCACCCAGCAGCCTGGGAGCTAGAATATTATCTGGAATCCATCAGGGGTTTGGAAGCCTGAATGATGGGTAATTTTGTCTGCAACTAATGAGCAAGTTACCAACCCCACCTGCATGCACAGTGCTCCTTCGCCTGTTCACAAAATGGAGATCCTGCAGCTCTCACTCAAAGGATGGGAGAGAACTGCACATATGCCAGTCATCTAGCTTAGCACACTGCATGCAAGCAGGAACAGAGTTATTAAAAGCTTTTAACCATTAACTAGTTTCTTTCCCCCATTTCATACTACACAGTTCCTGTTACTAAAAATTCCTTCTGTGTCTAAATCTTCAGCTGTCTTTAGGATGGCAAAGAATGCTAAAGTGGGGTGTGGGCAATTGCTAATTATCAGGATTTTGGAGGTTCCCCAATTTGGGCACAGAGTCAGACCCACCCCTCATTGTGGAAGTGATCAGGACTTGTGCTAACAAGCCCATGCAGAGGCATCCTCCTCGGGAACAGCTGAGAGGGCAAGGAGAGATGTTCAGAAGCATGGGTAAAGCAGCCCGCGCATTCACCATTACCTTTCTTTGTGGTGGTGAAGTACTTGGAGTCTGTCATTTTGGTCCCTGGTTTGTAGTGCGTCTCTGAGGAGAGAGAGAGAGAGAGAGACACACACACAAAATGCTGACACTTGGATAACCCCCTTCCTTTTCTGCTGAAGCAGCAACAGCAGAGGAAGCACTGGGAGGGAAAAAACAAGGGGAAAGAAACTCTGCTCTCCCTCAGAAAAAGCAATGAGGACTTGCACATGCAGGGACAGGGAGACACACACACGGCAGGGTGCCTAGGTACTCCTAACCCCCAGAGGAGGGTCAGTGAGGTAGGTCGCAGTGTATTCCCCCCACCAGCCAAAAGGGCAGTGAAGGAAAGCTAATGTGTCATTATCCCAGCTGGCCCATTTTGGTGGCTCTCCAGCTGGACTGGATAGTAATCACTGCTGCCTCCCTGGTTCAAATCCAATGTACCTCAATAGTGACCAACCCTCAATACCAGCTTGCAGTTCTGCAGCGACTGGGCAGTGGTGATGGGGAGATGTCCACCACACAGTCCATCCCAACTGGTATTAACTGGCTCTCTTATCAAAAGCCTCAACAGAGGTCTGGACTGAAGAGATTCAACTCCCCCTCTCATCTCTAACATGATGATCCCCTCCCCCCAGTTGAGCGTGCGGGCACATCAGCGGGGCATTGTGGAGGGAAGTTTGTACTGCCTTTGCTGTGTTTATTCTGTGAACAAATAAGCATTTCTGCATCCAGTGCTGCCATGTCAGCACTTTTCATGAACAAAACACAACCTGGGGCTCTTAGACAAACTGCTGCATTGCAAAGCTTTATGGGGCACATTAGCCAAACCAGTCTCGGAGCAGAACGTGAAGGGGGGGGAACAACAGTTTTGCTGGGGACTAACCAAAGGTAGCTTGAGTAGAGCAATACTAACTTCATTCCAGGAAGAAAGTTTTATTCCAGTGAAGACGCACACTGAGCCCTTCTCCTACCCCACATAGGAAGTGGTTCTCAGAAGAAAGGAGGAACAAGGCAAAACTGATGATGAAACTAGTCCCTCTAGGGTAAATGTAAGGGAATAATTGCAGCTCAGAACATAGTGCAAGTCTTCACCTCCATACTCTATGTATTCACAAGACATGGTCCTTTTCCATGTCACCAACACTAGGCTCCAATTCTCAAGCGCTGTTCCTTTAAGTTCAAACATGTAGCACTTGTTTGAACCAAGTGCTTTAGTCCATATTATATAATCCCTAGCAGCTGAGGTAAGCTGTACAGTCTGGCACTCCGCAGGAGTCCAATATCTATGCAGTGGACGGCCTTTTTAGAAGGTTGGTTGGGAAGTTCCAGATTTGTGTCTTTTTTGGAGGTATTTTACTAACCCTCCAATTGAGAGTTAACCATGTACCCTCTGATCCCACTGAGAGTTACCAAAAGAAACTACAGCATTTGCTCAAGGAACTCCCTGAAAAAGTACAAGATCAAATCCGCACAGACACACCCCAAGCAGGGGTATTCTATCTGCTACCCAAGATACAAAAACCTGGAAATCCTGGACGCCCCATCATCTCAGGCAGTGGCACCCTGACAGCAGGATTGTCTGGCTATGTAGACTCCCTCCTCAGGCCCTACGCTACCAGCACTCCCAGCTACCTTCGAGACACCACTGACTTCCTGAGGAAACTACAATCTATCGGTGATCTTCCTGAAAACACCATCCTGGCCACTGTGGATGTAGAAGCCCTCTACACCAACATTCCACACAAAGATGGACTGCAAACCGTCAAGAACAGTATCCCCGATAATGTCACGGCAAACCTGGTGGCTGAACTTTGTGACTTTGTCCCCAAATGTGAAGTAGTTATGGGTGAGGACAATGTATACCTTCAAATCAGCGACACTGCTATGGGTACCCGCATGGCCCCACAGCATGCCAACATTTTTATGGCTGACTTAGAACAACGCTTCCTTAGCTCTCTTCCCCTAATGCCCCTACTCTACCTTGTGCTACATTGATGACATCATCATCTGGACCCATGGAAAAGAAGCCCTTGAGTAATTCAACCATGATTTCAACAATTTCCATCCCATCAACCTCAGGCTGGACCAGTCCACACAAGAGATCCACTTCCTGGACACAACAGTGCTAATAAGCGACGGTCACGTAAACACCACCCTACACTGGAAGCCTACTGACCACTGTGCCTGCCTACATACCTCCAGCTTTCATCCAGATCACACCACATGATCCATTGTCCACAGCCAAGCTCTACGATACAATCGCATTTGCTCCAACCCCTCAGACAGAGACAAACACCTACAAGATCTCTATCAAGTGCTCTTACAACTACAATACCCACCTGCTGAAGTGAAGAAACAGACTGACAGAGCCAGAAGAGTACCGAGAAGTCACCTACTACAGGACAGGCCCAACAAAGAAAATAACAGAACGCCACTAGCCATCACCTTCAGCCCCCAACTAAAACCTCTCCAACACATCATCAAGGATCTACAACCTATCCTGAAGGATGACCCATCACTCTCACAGATCTTGGGAGACAGGCCAGTCCTTGCTTACAGACAGCCTCCCAACCTGAAGCAAATACTCACCAGCAACCATACACCACACAACAGAACCACTAACCCAGGAACCTATCCTTGCAACAAAGCCCGTTGCCAACTCTGTCCACATATCTATTCAGGGACACCATCATAGGGCCTAATCACATCAGCCACACTATCAGAGGCTCGTTCACCTGCACATCTACCAATGTGATCTATGCCATCATGTGCCAGCAATGCCCCTCTGCCATGTACATTGGCCAAACTGGACAGTCTCAACGTAAAAGAATAAATGGACACAAATCAGATGTCAAGAATTATAACATTCAAAAACCAGTCGGAGAACACTTCAAGCTCTTTGGTCACTCGACTATAGACCTAAAAGTTGCAATTCTTCAACAAAAAAACTTCAAAAACAGACTCCAACGAGAGACTGCTGAAATGGAATTAATTTGCAAACTGGATACAATTAACTTAGGCTTGAATAAAGACTGGGAGTGGATGGGTCATTACACAAAGTATAACTATTTCCTCATGTTTATTCCCCCGCTCCCCCCCATTCCTCACACGTTCTTGTCAACTGCTGGAAATGGCCCACCTTGATCACTACTACAAAAGGGTTTTGTTTTTTTTTCTCCTCTCCTGCTGGTAATAGCTCACCTTACCTGATCACTCTCGTTACAGTGTGTATGGTAACACCCATTGTTTCATGTTCTCTGTGTATATAAATCTCCTCACTGTATTTTCCACTGCATGCATCTGATGAAGTGAGCTGTAGCTCACAAAAGCTTATGCTCAAATAAATTTCAGAGTAGCAGCCATGTTAGTCTGTATCCGCAAAAAGAAAAGGAGTACTTGTGGCACCTTAGAGACTAACAAGATTTAAGAATGAGCTCTTTGTTAGTCTCAAAGGTGCCACAAGTCCTCCTTTTCTTTTTGCGGATACAGACTAACACAGCTGCTACTCTGAAACCATGTAACATGGACATTCAGGAGTCCCTCAATATACTAGATAAGCAGAACTTCAGAAGGCACTGTCAAATTAGGTTGGTTCCACACACACACACACCAAAAAAAAGTTTTTATTAATACATTTTCCCCCAGGATTTTCCTTTTTCAAATTTAAACATGACTTCTAAGTGTAACTTCTATTCCTGGGGGAATTCTGCACCAAAAAATTAAAAAATTCTGCACACATTTTAAAATTTTGCAATATTTATGCATATTTTATCAAAACACCACAATATAATCACACCGGTCTCATAAGAATGGTAGTATTGGGTCAGACCAAAGGTTCATCTAGCCCAGTATCCTGTCTTCCAACAGCAGCCAATGCCAAGTGCCCTAGAGGGAATGAACAGAACAGGGAATCATCAAGTGATCCATCCCGTCGCCCATTCCCAGAAAGGTCAGTAGCAAACAGTTCATGGAGCACATTTTGATGTCTAAATTTTTGGACTGAAAAAATTTCCTCAGTTCTAATCACTAAAGCACCATAAATTTATAAGGCCATACTGTCCTTTACACCACTCTGGCAATGTAAAGGAGCCTTGATTTACGCCTCTACCAGCTGCTATAGGCACCCGAACCGACCTGCCTGCACTACCAGGAAGGGGCACATGATTGCTCTTGCGGCTTCCCTTTGCTTTCCTGCCAGAAGTCATTTATCTGCAGGGAAGCAAAGAAATCTGTGGGGGGCATGAATTCTGCGCACGCGCAATGACACAAAATTCCCCAAGTAGTAAGCTTCAGTGTTGGAAACCCAAGCATCACCAACAGGAAAGAACTGACCGGGTTAGTTTCATTGTCCAAGCTAAGAGGGGAACAAGGAAGAAACAAAGCCAGATGTGACGTATTAGGGGCCTGTTTCTTTTTAAACACAAAAAGGGGCTTTACAATAAGAAAGAATCAGGCTCTACATCCCCCCCTCCCCCTGCCCACTTTTAAGAGGCTAATAATCTCTTGAATTTAGACAGCAGCATCCATCTGGAAAAGTGTAAAGAGCTTTACAGACATTAATGAATTAAGGCCCATCCTCCCTGTGAACAAGGTAAGAAATCACCTGTTTTATAAGTGAGGGGAAAAAAAAGGCACACAGCAGGGAAGTGGCAGTGCAAAGTAGCAAAGCTGGGAAGAGAACCTAGGTGTCCCGACAAACAGTCTTGTATTTCAGCCACAAAAACAACACAGGAAGAGGGTTTTTTTATTATTGTTGTTAGTTATGTCTTTTTAAATTAGTAGGGGGGCAAAGCTGTTACAAAGAATATTCAGAGAAGGCTGCCACAATGTAATCCTAACTCATTTGCTTGTACGTGGATGGTGAAGCTCACATGGCCGGCTGCTCAATCCCTTAGACATCTGTACACTGCAGTTAGACAGCCATGGCTGACAAGTGCCAGCTGACTCAGGCTCAAGGGGCTTGAGCTAAGGGGCTATTCACCTGTGGTGTAGATGTTCAGGCTAGGCTCTAGGACTCTGAGGTGGGAAGGTCCCAGAGCTCAGGCTGCAGCCCAAGCACGAACACCTAGCCCCAGTTAAATAGCCCCTTATCTGAAGTTTTAGGAGCCCGAGTCAGCTGGCACGGGCCAGCCATGGGTGTCTAACTGCAGCACAGACATACCTGAATACACCACACAAAGCTATTACTCTGTCTCTTGAAAGGTAAGACTGGACATTTACATTTCCAGATGTCCTTGCTTTTATGAGTTTAAAGGAAGGAAAAGATTATTTGTGCTCTAACTTCTCTTGGATTTAATCAGTGTCTTCTTCTGCAGAAAGAAAAGGAGTACTTGTGGCACCTTAGAGACTAACATGAAGTGAGCTGTAGCTCACGAAAGCTTATGCTCAAATAAATTGGTTAGTCTCTAAGGTGCCAAAGTCCTCCTTTTCTTTTTGCAGATACAGACTAACCCAGCTGCTACTCTGAGACCTGTTCTTCCGCAGAGTTACTCAGTAACTGAGGACAGAATGTCAACCTCACCAATGAATTGCACTTAGCTTCCAGATTATGCTGCAGCATCTTATTGCAGATACCCTATTCTTTGCAGTATGACAATAGGGAGGATTTGCTGCAATGCCTCTGTCAGCATAAGACTACACTGCTCTTATCACACGAGAGCTATATAGTCTTACATTATCATCCTTGCTTCAAAATAAGGATGCAGAGCAACATAACTGCCTTCTGGAGAACTTTTTGTCCCTTCCTGTGAAACAGCTGGTACAATCCCATGTTGGAGAGGAGATGGACCACTGGTCTGACCCTGTAAGAAACACAGGAAGTGCCAGACACTCCATTAAAGAGCCATAGGCATAGGGACTGTGTGTAATACAAGGGATCAGACACACAAAAGGAGGAGGAATTTTGCCACAACTATGGCTAAGTGGTCCAGGTCAGAGGAATCATGCACTCACAGCCAGTATACCGAAACAGAACAGAGTCGCCAAGAATGATTCCTAGTGTCTAGGGCAAGAACTATTTGGCTAGTAGAGGGGTGGCCAACCTGACCCTGAGGAGGAGCGAGAATTTACCAATGTACATTACCAAAGAGCCACAGTAATATGTCAGCAGCCCCACATCAGCTTCTCCCACCCGCCCCGCTTCCAGTGCCTCCTGCCCACAGGCAGCCCTGCCAATCAGCGCCTCCCCCTCCCTCCCCACACCTGCTGATCAGCTGTTTCGAGGAGGAGTGTAGGAGGCTGGGGCAGGGAGGAACGAGAGCATGGCAGGTTCAGGGGAGGGGGCAGAAAGGGGTGGAGTGGGGGCAGGGCCTGTGGCAAAGCACCCCCCGACACATGGGAAAGTTGTCGCCTGTAGCTTCAGCCCCAGAATCGGTGCCTATACAAGGAGCCGCATATTAACGTCCGACGAGCCGCAATGTTGGCCACCCCTGGGCTAGTACCTGGGGCTGTCATGTCACTAGCTAAAGCAGCTAGCTCCCTCCTGCTTCCTGGTCTCCCAGCTCTCAGATATTGCAGTGCATGCTTTCATATCCAACCTTTAATCTGATCTCAAATGGAGAGCAAACCACCATTTTAAGATCCATTGTATCCTTATGGACCCCTTGAACTCCAAGGTGCCAACACTGGGATTTTATCAATAGTTTATTCAATAAGGTTCAAGTGTGAAGAGGAGTTAGCTGGATGGGGGAGTCTCAAACCATATCTCCTAATGTTTTCTTTTTCACTTGAACCTTGGCAGAGGCAAAGAGGGGCAGAAATACTGAAAGGGAAGGAGAGTGCAAGATCCTGAAACAGGCTGTTTTCAGAGCAAGCATGAACAGATTGGAATCAGATGCTGTGATCTTGCTTTTGGCTTCCCAGCTGCAGGCTGGAGAATAGATTGGTTTTACTGCAGCGTGGGATACCAGACCCCTTACACAGACTCCAAACTCCGTAAGTAGTGGATAGAAATATAAAGCCATTAGCTCAGCATCTGGCAGCGGTTGGGAAAACAAACAGGATGCGGGTCCATATCAAAGGATTCTGTGGCTGTACCTCCAGTCCTGTAAACTCTATCATGGGAAGAGGGGAGGGACCCCGGTAACAAGGCATTCGGTGGAGCAATCAGGAAAGATTTTGAAGAGAACATAACTAATGTTTAGATAACCCTAATGAAAGTAAACTCCACAAGACTCTCATTGGGCATGATCCGAAACTAGGAGCAGGCAATGAGTGTGGGGAAATTTCTTAGTGCAGAGGGCAGTGTGTAGAATGTGTTCACCAAGGCAGTGGAGAAGATTCACTATGTTAACTGAAAAAAGAAAAGGAGGACTTGTGGCACCTTAGAGACTAACAAATTTATTTGAGCATAAGCTCTCGTGAGCTACAGCTCACTTCATCAGATGCATGGAATAGGATGTTATATAGGATGTTATATAGAAATCCTATATATAGAAATATGTTATATAGGATGTTTTCATCAGTAGATCTCAAAGTGTTTTACAATCTAATCTATTTATCCTCACACACCCCTGTGAGATAGGGAAGTATCATCTCCATTCTACAAAACTGAGGCACATAGAGGCTAACGGATTTGCCCAAGATCACACCGGAAGTCTGGGTGGAGCAGGGAATTGAACCTGGGTCTTCAAAGCCCTAGTGCTCTAACTGCTGGCCATTCTTCCTAAGATTGCTGTGTTCCCCCATCACTCCTACCCAGATTGAGGAAACCAGCAAGCCAAGGGAGAGATTTTTGTGGTAAAGGAATTCCAATCTACCAAAACCACTGAAGAAGCCTTGGCAATTGGCAGATGTCTTTAGAAAATTCAGGTGTTAATCAAATATTGAGTGAGCGCACGCGAGAGAGCGAGAGCGCGCACACACGCGCGCTGAGGAAACAGATAGCATTGATACCAGAATCCTGACCATTCTATGTGTGCAACCTCTTTTGCTTGGCTTTGTTCTATCTACATATCATGACCCATTCTTCCTCCTCTTCTGCCACTTCCAAAAGAGGAAGTCACGTCGGGTCTATTCTGATTTTGGCCATTTCTCCGGACGCATGCTCTGGGTTCTGCAGTTACACTTCTTTTCTTAGACCCACTACACACAGAGCCTTCACATGGCAACAAAGTGACCCCGAACCCTAAAGCAACTAATTTTTGTGGACCTACAGTCTTTTCTTTCCCAGAAACCTTTAGAAGGTTTTAAGACTCTCAACTCAACGAGGGAAAAGTGTTTGAAGCGAAGAAGCCAAGCATCAAAACTGACAGCACAACTTTGACCTAAGAATCGGTACAGACTATTTGAACTCGCTAAAATATGAAGTCAGGAATCCCGGGAGTCAATGCACCACACCAAGTTTAACGATGCAGGTAAGCCAGTCCCGAGAAGCCAGAGGTTCCTTCTACCCATTACTGGCTGCCCAGATGCAAATTAGAAGTCCTTTCCTATGACAGCAATTGATAAGTCCAGCACCCTGTTAAAACAGTTTCTTTAATAAACAGGCTGTAATGTCACAAGCTGCAAGAACTCCTGCTGAACTGGATCCCCAGTGGTGGCAACAGCCGCAGTAGGTAACTCAATGCTCTGTTAAATGCTCTGGGACACCCAGAGTATGAGCAATGCTAAACAGAAACCACAAGTGGGGGGTGGGAACCATGTGATGGTTGCAGCACAAACCACAAGCTCTGGTTTCACTCTATACACTCTGCTGAATAAATGGCTCTAACCTAAATAGCTAGTCCTTTAACAGAGCTTATGGTGGACCATGTCGAGATTTTAATGATTATAGTGCTGACCTTCCAGAGAAGGAGTGGAAAGGAGTTGGAGAAAAGTGAGCATCTGAGGACAATCAAGACGGTGTTTAGTCTCCATACAAATACAATTATCAGACTGCTTGTAAA